TTATTGAATTGAATGGTTCTAAATTAAATTATAAGTGAAGGGTTTTTAACTAGTAGTGCTTAAATTTGTTAACAATTCTTCACACTTTTTTATCAATTCAAATGATTTGAAGTCATTCCACTTTTTTATTATTTTTTGATTCTAGGAGTGATTAATTGTGCTAATTTAATTATTTAAAGGTCTGTAATCAAATTCTCCAACTTAAGGTTGATTAATCAAATTATCCAATTGTTCAAAAAAGCTGTAATTGGCATTTTATTCTGCAATTTCTTATAAACATTTGATCCATTCATTTGTATTACCAATTATTTAATTTATTTATTAATTAATCTATGATTTTAATAAATGTAATGTTTCCTAAAGTACATTGATCTTGTTGATATTCATCATAATAAGTTATTCAACTGATTCTACCTTCTTCTTTTAATTTTCTTCGATTATTTAAGCAACCTTTTTAAAACTCATTACATTATTTAGATTAGATTCTAAATTATCCATGCATTCAGTGCATAAAAGCCTTTAGTTCTTGTCTCTGTTTTTATCACAAACAACCATATATATAGGAAGTTTATGATTCATTGAACAGACTAGTTCTTCCTCTTTTTCTATCATTTTTTATTTGATCATTTGTTATTTAAATAAAATATTAATTAAATAAATAATAAATATTATCTCTTAAATACTCAAAATGTATCATTCAATTATAAAATAGCTACCAATATATACTTATCAATTATTTCAAGTAGCTATTCAGATTAGTTGCCCTTATTCAATTTATTTTCTAACAATTAAAAGTTTGGATGATTGTGAAAGAATTAATGAATATTTGATGTCAAACCTGATTATTCTTTCATTAAATTATTTAAATCTTTCTTTATGTCTTAGATTATTGTAAGAACAACTCAAATTACAAAGTAACCATAAAATTTAATGTTCTCTACAGAGTAAATTATCAATACATAATATCTTTAATATTTAAGGAATATATATATATTTGTACTGTCTCAAGGAATTTCAAAGTTTAGCTATATTTTTGTAATTTTAGGCATTATTATTTAATTAATCTGATGGTTCATTAGAAAAGAAGCCTCAGAAAGTGCAATTCTTTATACTCAGGGACGCCTAATCTCAACTTGTAACAATTTTGACAGATTCTGTAATTTTAATCCACTTAGACCAAAAAGAACCTTCGATACTGTTTTCAGCTAGTCTTTCTTAAATAATTTAGGCATGTTATTAATTTACAACTTCATAGCCCATCCCATATTAAAACTCTACATTAAGGGGAGAGAAATGAATCGAACCATTCTCACAGGAGAGACAAATTATAATTTAGTCAGCACAAAAGTCTGACAACTTAAACAAATAACTTATAAGTGGGCGGTTCAGAGAAAAATCTCAATTCGCTTGGACTTCTGAGTTTAATGATCATCCTTATATCTCCTTTTGAATTTTCGAGTTAAGCCTATGAAGTATTGATCACAGTGAAATCATACTAACCATTAATGAGTCTATTCATTTTGATTATACATGGTTAATACCACCTTCTTCCATTATATTATTTTGCATGATATCTTATTCAAAAAACCCCTGTTGAATGCTTAAGGTTTCTAAATATTCCATCTTATTTCTGAAGAATACCTGTTTGTTTAGATGGACTATGAGATATAACTTTTAGAGATCTTAATTCAAATATAACAAGGCTTTATAGGAACCTTGTTGTTCCTTAAGAAGCTTTTACATAAGATAAATTCATTAAATAATTAATATCCTCTTCTTATTCGAAAGAGCCCCTAGCTTAAAATTGTTGGGCATTTGATTAAATATTCGTTCTTCATAGCTTAATTATTTTATTCTATTTATCTTTAACAATGAGGATATACTCCAGTTTTTATCTCATTTATTATTCATCTTATGTTTCTGAAGCCATTTTTTGAGGTGTCAAAGTCTTCTCGGTATTTCAACTAGCTCTTTCAAGGCTATCTATTTATTAATTCTCTCTTATTCTTGTGCGAAAAAATGATTCTTCTTTAATCGTTGTACATCAATGTAGCAATCGGGGTTGTTTTGAGCAGTGTATATCTAAATTGAAAATTAGATAGCCATTCACCTCAAATATATATGCATCTTTTATTAATTGAAAATTACTAGAGAGTAAAAATCCTCTCCACCTCAATATTTTTAAATCATATAATAAATAAATCGTGTTCTTAGATGATTTTTATTACTTACACTGATTAATTATTATAAATCAATTTATTTAAATGAAGATCTACAAATATTATTCATTTTCTTCTTTAAGTATTCTTCCCAAAGACTCCATATTTTTCTTACTAGATATATCTAATTTAATCGATTATATTTATTTGATTCATGATATTTTGTTAAATACAATAAGGTATGCATCTATTTATTGATTCCTAGATTTAATAGACTGATCCCTACACTATAGTCGATAGCATAACTTAAATAATGTTAAGTTTGAGGTCTTAAAGGTTCAATTTTGAGAACACAGACTCTCTAATACATCCTCTATTACTTTTATTATCGACTTTCCGAAATTTGTTCTGAACCTCAGTCACCATAAACTTAAAAACGTAATTCTTTCGTAAAGAGTTATCAAACCCGACTAGACGAGTATTAGTTTGAATTCATTGAAGTACACCAGATGTGAACGTGTTCGCTTAGAACAGAAACCTCTCACTTACATTAATTAACTCGCAAAAATTTTTTGTTGAATTGAATTATAACATAGTGGAAATAGAGAATGAAATTTGAAAAAATCCTTGATGAATTCAAAAAGAAGAACATAGCATAGCCTAAAAGCTTATTTTTCATCTGATTTTTGAACTGTGCACATCCTGTTGAATTCCTCCTGATAACACAAAAAAATGAAATAAATTCATATTAAGGAAAGAATTATACTAACTTTAATATTTTATAATTATTGTTATATTTCACTTATATTCCTAGAAATTCATAATATCAATATTTACAATAGAATTATCTTGAAAATACAAAGAAATCAATGAAAATATTATAAAATTCCCAGAATTCTAATCGTCTGATAATTTAGCTAACACAGTAAACCTTCTAATCTATGGCGGCTTCCATTCTCATCAAATGAAGTGGAGAAATTGATGAACCCTATCTGAACCAATAAAATTAAAAGCATAAGGCAGTTGTATTCATTTTTTTGATGTTCTTTTAATATTAGATAATATCAAATTCATAAAGACGTTTGAAGTTATGCAATTAATATTTTCATAGATTTTAATATCGTGGTTGTCCAAACTTGTAAATCAGCAACTAAACGAATAATATTATGGTAAATGCAAATTTTACAGAATGTAACTGTATTGGTAAGGATGGACTTGAAATATGCGATGATTAAGATCTTGAGTATTGATACAATTATTTTTATTTAATTTACCCATTTCTGTTCAACATCTTTTATTTAATAATTATTTTAAAGTAAGAAAGATTATTTATAATTTGAGAATATATGTTATTAAACTTAATTTATATACTCTATAATGCTAGAATTATTCATTTGGATTTTTGCTTTACATTATGTCACAAAGGACACAAGCATTCAATCAATCAATAAAACTCATCCAGTTAAATTTTATTAATTTATAATAAATTAATTGTATTTTTTTCATATTTGATAGGCTAGGATCAGTATTCCTATAGAAATGTCAAATATTGTTAATAGTAAATGCAAAAATTAAGTATTTATGGACCTCACTAGCCATCTTTTAAATGATAAGAAATCATACATAACAATAGCATCAGCAAATTCCGGTTGTATATTAAATTGAATATGTTTTTGACCAAATTAAAAATTTTACAACAACTCCTCTCTCTCAAGATTCTTGATTTTTAAAGACTTGATTGAGTGTAATTTATGGTTGCAATCATTAAAGTTATAAAATATGTAATATATTCAATATATACATTTAAATTGATAAAAACCTAGTGGGATTTAATTAAATGAAGTTTACAAGATTTTCATGTTGTCTCTAAATAGGCTCAGTTTCTTAGAAAACATTATATTTATGCAGTATACAGTAATTTTTTTTTAAAATCTTTAATTATTTAAGCTTCTTAATTATCAAGATGCTTCTCTGTCATGCTACAATTAAAAAGGAATACTTTTCATTTATTAGGGAAGTTTCACATTAATTATGAATCTTTCAATTTTTTTGTTAGTCTGATTTTCAAGGTGCTACTTCCATCAAGAATATTGTCAATCAAAAATGTTTCAAAAAAACTTGAGTGTAATTAAATGGAATTTTACTTCATCATAAGTATAAATACAAGTCGAAATATGTTCTTAGAGATCTAGGATAAAAAATTTAAGATCGAAACTCAGTATTCCTTCCATTATTAGCAAATTTTTTGGATATATTTTATAACCAACTATTCTTACTATATTTATAATCGGGGTTATTCGAAATATCTATTAATTAATTTTGTCACAGTGTCTATGTATAAATCTTGTTTAATGATATCTAATAAAGTAAAAAATTCCAATGTCAAGAAAATAGTATAATTAACGATCAAAGGGGAATCCTAAGTAGTAGGACACCACCTCGGACATCTTATTTAGGAAGATGCTATTTTGCTCGATGGAGAAGAAGGAGAGATCATACGGGGTGAAGACACTTCTGAAGATGAAAATGATGGAG